TTTGAGACTCGAACCCTAAACCACCCGTTGCAAAGCAGTTGTTAAGACAGGAACGAGAAGGTGTTTGTGGAAACGTACACCTTGACCATCGGAACGTTACGGTTCAAGGTGTTAGGATCCACCGATAGAAATCTCATACAGTATTATGTTATTTAACCTTCACTTCGAGAAGGTACAATGCCTACCTAGGGCAACCACCTGGCGGATTGACCACCTGGAAAACGAATGGTATCATTTTACAACGCCATCCCCTCATCACTCATAACCCTCATTCCCTTTTATCTACCTCTATCTATATCTCTATCATATTATACAAACCAAAAAGAACTGTCGCTATCATACACGATGTAATTGTTGCGAAAGGATACGGAGATGATGAAATGGAAGCACCATCATCCCGATCGTCAGTACCGCTATCGATGATGTCGAGAGATGCTCTTTCAGGCCTCATTGCTTTTTTACACTGGAAGCCAAGGAGGCGCCAATGGCGTTCTCTGTGACACCATTTTCATTTTCAAGTGGAAATAATGCTGTGAGATTCGGCGTAATGGCCCAGAATAGAATGCATCTTCCGTATCTGCACACCAATCAAGGAAAGCCACCCAACCCCTTCATATTCATATAAGTTTCGGACTCCCGACTCACCGACCGCAGTAAAATTACTTCACGACCCCCCTAGACACCGAGACGCATGCATCCAACGGGCCATTCAGCAGGTCATGCTGCAGGCTCTCGCACGCCTCTTCATTTAATAGCGCGCTACCGCTCCCGCTGTAATAGGTAGTACTAGTCCGAGATACGCGATTTAGCCCGCGATACTAGCGCAATCACGCATGATGAGCCCACGGCGGAGCCGCACGTGCCCTCTGCCACCTCGTCGGTGGCGTTTCCGCTGAAGGCACAGGTCCTACGATTCCGCTCCGCGCTGGTGCCTGTGGACGCATTTAGGAAGGAGGTTGGGGGCGTGGCTTGGTAGAAGGAGCTGTGGGAGATGTGGCGTCTGTGGTGTTGGCGCGTTTGGCCCAGGACAGACTGGATAGAGGGGATGAGGAAGAGGACGCGTTGGAGGACGCGCGCGTAAGCCCTACGTACGTACGGGAACGACCCCGTGTTCGCGATCGCGGAGTTGTCGTTCGCGGTGTCGTGGCTCCTGGCCGGACACTCGAGCTCGACGCACCCGACAACCGTCTTGTTAAGGTCCTGGGCTAGTACTTGAGCCGTGGTAGAGGTGGTGCTGGCGGCGGCGAGGACCAGCAATGCTGTGATGAGCTGCTTGCGCATATTGGCTGTGGTGATTCTATGGGCGAGGGCGAAAGTGAAGGCGTGCAAAGTTGAGTGACCGAAGATGGTGGCGAGGACGAAAGTAGATATGACGGGTAGCGAAAAGCAGGCAAAGGAATAGGCAGAGGTGAGAGGCTGATGAGAGCTGGTATCTTCGACATATTCTCGGGTTTGATGAGGAAGCTTATTGTTTCTTTGGCTGACTGGCTAGTAGGTTGACTAAGTGATCGATTCATTCCTTTGAAGTATGATATCTCTTGGATGTCTGAAGTTTTTGGCTCAGCGCATAGGCTACGGCATATGAGATATGTTGGCATAACCCTACGATCATCGTTCCGCATATCACGATGGACGAAAGCCAAGATAACACGAGGTTTTGGTTTATATAGGGGACCTGAGCATACTACTACTACTAGTAGGGGATTAGGGGTAAGAGCTGGAACTTGGCACGGACGCTTGTTTAGAGGGCGATCATGGAGATCATGCAAGTGCCTGTCGCGCAAAAGTTCAACAGGGTTAATGAAGATTTGGTAACGCTTCCTTAGATCTATTTCCTGAACGAGAGTTAAATGGCACTTTATAAACCGGGTCGACAGTAGTTGGAACTTGGGGTCAGTGTGGTGCAAACTTCAAAGCAATGCTAAGGACCCAGACTACGGAATGGACCGAAGCTAATGCTTCGAAAGAGCCCCTTAAGGTTGACAGGGTACTGACCAGGACATGGCTATCCCTTTGAAAGTTTGACGACCGACCAAAAGGCATTTTGTACCCCATAATTCAAGCCAATTAGAAGACGTTGTCCGTGGGAATACTAGGGGAAGCTTTGATAATTCTCAATAAGGTAAAGCTTATTAGTACTTTAAAGGCTTTAGGAGTTTGTATTAGTGTAATAAAATATACGCAAAAAAATGTGTTGAAACAGTCCCCAGGTACTTTAGTGAGATCCGGCTCTTGTACCGACCCCTGCTAGCTCAAATGCCTTTTGGTTGGTCGTCAAAGGGATAAGGCTGAAATTACTATCTCGGCGATTTAATTATAGAGTTAAAACGCATAGGATTCAATCGTACAGACCAATGATGGACATGTATAAAGCGGGGACATACAGGGGAGAAGGTCGTAGAGCTTTACTATGATTGGTTGGAATCTGATTATATAAAGGTGAGTAGGCATCGGAGGAGGCGCTGGCGGCGATGGCGCTAGCCCCAAATCGATTGGAAGGAATTGAAAAGAACTAAGAGCCAATCAGCGCTACAGGGGTGTTGTTCTACACACCAATTAAACGCGCGTAGACTTAGGGCTATTGTGCAACCCAACGGCGCTGCCCCTTGTACGTTTATAAATGTTTATTAAAGGACTGGAAATAGGATTGAACTATCTCCCGATGTGGCAGTTGACAACAGTTACAATTTGCATTTTTACCAACTTTCTCATTGAAATATAGGCGTTTAAAAAGAGCATTTTGATGGGAATTAGGGTGCCCATGGGCCGTAGGGGTATAGCCCGTGAGTGCGTAGGCGATGGTAGGATTACCTATAAATACCCCCGAGATGACCGTCCCATCTCGAGAATCTCCGATATCCAGTCTTCAGCGACATCGAGACTAGTACAATCAACCTCGACCTCCTAGATACCTTACCAGTATCTATGTACCTACACTCTTTTACTGCCTAGGCAAATTACGTTCATTCAAAATTCAAAATCACATTCATTCTTACTATTACTATAGCAAAGATGGCAGCAGCAGCAGTCGTCGGAGCGATCGGTTTGATCTCCAAAGCTCTCGGAATCGTCCAGTTCGGAATCGACAACTTCCCCAAATCCAAGTCGGTCGACGCTGTCGTCCGAATCACCACAGGCTTGGACACCCCTGGTGGTCTTCAAAACGCTGGTGGCTCCCTTCCTGATGTTCGCCTCTTCAATGAAGCTGGGGATTTCCTCGGTCTCACTGCGGACCCCGGCAAGATCCAGAATGGTGGATTCGCCGATATAACCATCAGCCAAAAGGGCAAGAACACCCAGCAAGCCACCTACGCCCTCTTTTCTGCTAACAATGACGCGATCTGTATCGCATACGCGACCATCACCCTGCCCAACCAAGACAAGTACTCGTGGGTAGGGGACTGGGGTCGCCAGTGCGGCGCCAAGTGGTACTACTCGCACGTGTACATCGGCAGCACAGGCGTGACGCCCGACTGCATGTGGATCGACGGCAACAACGACCAACCGCAATCCGGGTTCCAGATCCACTGGCCCGAGTTCTACGTCCCCTCGGGCGACAGCCTGCCCGCGGACCCCAAGGAGCAGTCGGACAAGATCGACTACTTCTGCAGCCAGGGGCCAGCCTTCAAGTACTACAACTACGCGACGGACCCGAACCCACGCAACATCATCTACTGGACGATCACCAACCCGCGCTCCGAGCCCCTCACAGCCTACGGCCCCGCCAAGGAAGCCGAGTCCGCGAAATTCCGTCGCGACGGCACAGTGTACCCACGCCAAACCACCAACGGGACAGCCACGAACCCGCACAAGGACCGTCTCGTGATCAGCAACAACGAGAAACACACGGCGGACGGGCTATGCGGCAGCGACACGAGCTACGGCCCCGACTTCGTCGACATGGCCACGGGCACCTTCTGCCGCATGTCCGACAAGAAGCAGTTCCCCCTCTGCGACGAGACGATCACGGATAACTGCTTCAACACCGAGTCCAAGCAGCTGGTCGTGAACGGCGTGTCGGCGCGCGCAGAGCCTTATAATGATATCTTGGATTGGTCTGAGTAAGACACCTAGGACCTAGGTACTTGAGCATTGACTCTAATGTCTAGGTACCAGCATAATCTAGGTGAAGTGTAAGATTATGTCCGGATTGTATGAACTTGAGATTTTAGGGGCTTGGTAGGCACCTTGGTTGATTGGGTCGCACGTTCCCACGATCTTGGGTTTTCAGGAATATGGGAGTTGTCGGTCTGTCTGTCTGTCGCTATTTCTATGACTGTCTTGGCTTTGGGGCTGATTGTGTGTCTTAGTCGCTCGATTGCTTATTACAATGAAATTTCCTGAAATTATCTAAAATCATCCCAGTGTTCCTACCGTGAACGAATTTTTCGTCTCTGAAAAGGGGGCGTATTTGCTATGTGTGTCGATGCGAATCCGAGACCGAGACCGAAACCGAGGTCCGACGCCACGAAAAGGGGTAACTGGCGACGAAACAATAGGTGGAATATATCTGTGATCAACATTGTAGTGAATAGATAGAAATTTATATAAACAAAAAAACTTACTAGTTGATCAAGTCAGTATACTTGGAATCTCTTAGCTCCTTTCTAATACCCAATATTCCTTACTAATGCGACGACTAAATTTTCATAGGGTCGGTCCACAGCAAAAATCGCTATTTTCGCGGACCGACTGTAAATGAAAGAAAAATAAAGAATAAAAGTGAGTTGGACCTAGGCGTTCTTTGAGAAACAAAAAACGAGATTACCGCATGGTGCCATTTGGCGGTTTTATGATGTACAGGAGATGGCGTCTCTACATCACTTGCCAACCACACCATACAATCCATAATCTCTGCAGTAGGTACTGTTTCTTATCCTTATAAGGCCTGTGCAGATTTCTGGCAGTAGACTAGTCAAGTCTGAAGTGTTCATAGCCCATAGCCTCATACTAGAAACATAGCGTACACAATTTTGGAAAAAAATGCAGCAAAAAAGAAACTGCCCATCCTGGGGTCGAACCAGGGATCTTCTGATTTTCCTGTCATCACTCATTTGCAAACGAGAGAAATAACAGTCAGACGCCTTAACCACTGGGCCAATGGGCATTAGTAATATTAATGAATAATTAGGGTCATTAAGGAAAGCGCAATGGTACACCGTGCCCTGAACTGTGCTTTTCTGATTCAACATTTGTTGAGCACTTTTCTGGACCTTTAGCTAGCTCGAGAGTTCATAAAAAATCCACGGAAACTTACAGACATCTCAGAATTCAAGAAAGAGTATTGCCATAACGGAACTTTTGTGAAGTATGGGATACCAAGGGGCGAGGTTGATCATAATGACTGTTAGCCATGTCCTGAACTGTCAACTCATTAAGTATACCGCAAGTCTTGTCATGCTGTCTTACTGGGATAGATATGAAGACATCTATCACGATGTAAGGGAGAACCAGAGTAGTTTAGATGAAGAAATTGTCAGGGAACGCGAGGATTAGGTAGGTATTGTTAACGAAAAAGCAGACTCGGAAACTCCAGAGTACCTGGGGTCAGATATTACCATCGGTGGTGGGGATTGGGGCTTATTTAGGGGTCTCCTGTCACAGTTGTTGGTCTCTATAGCTGTTTTTAATTAGTTCCTGTTATATTGAAGTTATATCCTCTTATAATATCGGCTGGTGAAATTTGGCCCGGGTCCGGCGGCGTAGAGCCGCGCTAATACGCCCCGGGATCTTCTTGTCTCCAGAGGTTTAATCAACGCGATGCCCGATCCGTAATGCATGCTCGACTACCTAGGTCCTACAGCGTCACAATCGCTTAACCTAGTTAGTTAGCTCACACTGGTGCATCCATATTCCGATATTTTATTCCGAGACATTTGCCAATTGGAATTGCCGCGAGGACACGGTTAAGGAAACTGTTCAGGTCTTGCGGGGAGTCGAAGAAATGCATTTTCCGACGGAAAGTCCCGAGACGGCATGGAGTAGGTCAGGAGTAGGTATAAACTCCAGGGTCTGCCGGAAATGTCGAGGACTGGCCAAATTGGCTATTCCTCAATCGTAGTAGTGTTACATCGCGGGCGAGCAAGTAACTTGGCGAGGGGTGACGACCTCGGAAGGAATGTGAATTATTAAATCTGTGACACGTTGACGTTATCGCAGTGCGAGACTGCGAGTATCCTACCGGTGTTGCACAACATAAGACACGATATTGAACCAGCTCCTACTAGTACGTACTAGTAGGTAGTGTCAGTTGCTGGAGTTACCAGTGTCGCTCGTACCTCCGAGTTCAGAATCCTATCTCCGATCGGGAGTTGGTATAGGGAGAAAAGAAATCGACGTCATTAATAACTCAACAACTTCAACATGTCAGAACTCGCCATCAAGCCTGGTTCCCTCGTGCTCGTAACGGGCGCAAACGGGTTTATTGCTGGTCACATCATTGACCAGGTATTGCAACATGGGTACCGCGTGCGCGGCACCGTCCGTAACATTTCTAGGGATCAATGGTTGACGGGACATTTCGAGGAGAAGTACGGCTCTGGAAAGTTCGAATTAGCTGAAGTGCCAGATATGCTAGCGGATGGTGCCTTCGACGAGGCCCTCAAAGGCGTATCTGGTTTGATACACGCTGCGACGCCAGTGCTGATGAGCCCCGACCCTAATGCCATCATACGCCCCGTCGAAGCCGCCGTGACGCGCATCCTAGAAGCAGCGGCGAAGGAACCGGGAGTCAAAAGGGTCGTCCTGACTTCATCCTCGTCGGCGTGTACAACCCTTAACGGAACCCAGGTCTTCGCAATTAATTCAGACTTGTGGAATGAGGCGATAGTGGAAGCAGCATATGCGCCACCGCCGTACGAAGGCTCAGAACGAATTGAAGCAGTCTACGCTGCGAGCAAGATGAGACAAGAACAGGCGGCATGGAAGTGGGTGCGAGAGCATAAGCCGTCTTTTGTCTTCAACGCGGTCTTGCCCAACGCAAACATAGGACCTTCGATCGACGTAGTCCACCAGGGCTACCGAAGTACGCTTAATTGGATGAAGGCTGTGTTCGAGAAAGGGGAGAAGTTGAACGCGAAGCAGGACTTGCTGGGGTTGACACCGCAGTATTACGTTGATGTCCGCGATAACGCTGCAGTGCACGTCGCCGCGCTCGTATACCCCGACGTGAAGAATGAGCGCATATTCGCCTTTTCTCACCCCTTTAACGCAAACGACCTCTTGAGAACTTTGAAGAGGCTTTACCCGGAACGGAAGTTCGGCGAGGAGGAACCCAACGCGGCAGTAGAGAAGAGTACCGTTACCAATGAAAGGGGCGAGGAGCTTCTAAAGAGAATAACCGGACACGGATGGACGAGCTTCGAAACTAGTGTCAGAGATGCCGCTAAAGAGGCGTCTGCTCAATTCTAGGGGTGGTCGTGATATTCCTCCACTCTTTGAAGAGCTGTAATCTCACAGGTAATAGCTGGGTTTGTCATTCGGGGTTATTATTAGGAGAGTAAATTGCAAAGCACCGGAGAAGATTTTCCAAGACTAGATAACTCTAGAGATAATCAATCTTGAATCACGTCTATTTTGCTTTCTAACTGGTTCCATTTCTGCGAAAGTCCGAAACAACATGAGGCAAACAAAAGCAAAGTGGGCGAAGTTTGTAATGAATGAGATTGTTGGGTGAGTGGGTGAGACGGCATAATTCATACGGGTTAAAATTATCCCCTGTTTACATAACCCAAGTATGCACAGTCAGCATAAAGAAATAATTGGAGAATATGCAAGCCATCTGCATGGTAGCCCCTGCCTTCATCAGATTTTATTGATCTCCCCTCGTGCGCTCATGTGCAACATCAAGAGTGGGGGAGGGGCAAGATGGGGGAAGATGGGGAAATAGGAAGCTACACTGATGAATTCATTGACCTAGATGGCGTAACCGAGCAATATTCATTTTCTCGGCATAACTACGTAATAATGTGTGGAAGTCTAGTAGCTTCTAGATAAAGAATCAATACTATGAAAACTCAACTATAATTACTATATCAATTACCTTGCTGAATGAACTATTCTTGCCTTCAACGTACAGAAGCAACTACACAGTGACTGACACCTTTGAGTACACATTTTTATTCTCGGATTCAAAATTTAAAATTCAGAATAATGGCCACGAAGATCTTCCTGTGAGTACTGATATAACCAAATTGATTCCGGAGCTAATTCATCACAATAGCACCGGCGCCACTGGTATGCAGTCAATACTTACCTAGTCTTTCATCCTGCGGGTGTGAATACTAAATATTGGTGGATGTATAGGCTACATCGGCGGCGACGCCCTCTACTCCCTAGTCAAGGCCCACCCGGACTTTGAGTATACCCTCCTCGTACGGAACGAGGAGCGTGGAAAGCCAGTCGCCGCCGCGTATCCAAAGGCGCGCCTCGTCTACGGCACCCTAGACGATGCCGATGTTATCGAGAAGGAGGCAGCTGCGGCAGACATCGTAGTTCGTATGTGACTCAACTTCATTTCTTACATATGAAAAATGAAACGAAATCAGCACTAAACATCACCTAGACACGGCGGACTCAGCCGACGACGTCCCATCAGCGACCGCGATCGCCAAGGGCCTAGCAGCGGGGCATACGGCCGAGAAGCCGGGGTACTGGATCCATCTGTGCGGGACCGGCATCCTGACCTGGTACGATGCGGACAACAAGCGGTACGGGCAGGCGCCCCTACCCGAGCAGAAATACCACGACATCGACGACATCGACCGGATCCTGTCGCTGCCGGATACCGCGATCCACCGAGATGTCGACAAGATCGTGCTGGGCGCCAACTCCCCCTCCGTCAAGACCCTGATCGTCGGGCCCCCCACCATCTACGGAAAAGGCCGGGGACCCCTGAACACGCGCAGCATCCAGGTCCCGCGGCTGATCGAGTACACGCTTACGCACGGGTACGCGCCGATCCAGGCGCCGGGGCTAACCGAGTGGGATAACGTGCACATCCACGACCTGGGCGATTTCTTCGTGCTAGCCGTGGACGCGGCGCTCGACGCCTCCAAGAACAGCGACCCGGAGATCTTCGGACCCAAGGCCTACTTCTTCCTCGAGAGCGGCGTGCACCGCTGGGCCGACGTGTCCCGGGCCATCGCCGTCGAGGCCGCGAGACAGAAGCTGATTCCCGAGCCCATCGCCAAGGAGGTCGAGATCCCGGGCTACGGAACGAACTCGAAGAGCGTGGCTGCTAGAGCGAGGAAGTATCTCGGCTGGACGCCTAAGAGTCCCAGCTTGCCGGATACGTTACCTGAGACGGTGACGATTGAGGCGAAGAGACTTGGTAAAATCTAAACTTGAATCTGATATGGGAAAAAGTTGCGCTGTTGATGATTAATTGGCTCCTACGCATTGGTCCCTAGCATATCTTGAAACGACCTAGCGATGGTAGATGAGACACGAAATGATATTCTGTAGCTTGCTCACTTAAATGAATTTGATATTCCAATTTGTCAAAAACCGCATCCCATGTTTTGTGATCGTCATTCTCGTCATAAGTCGTTGCGCCGATTTCCGTATCCAAGTGCTGCGTGTCTCATGTCCATTTCTCATAACTAAGGGTACTCGATGTCCAAGTAAACCTTGACCTCAACCTCGTTAGCCCAACCGGCTTCGAGTCCCATTTCCTTCCACGCCGTTTCAATATCAATGTTCAATACGTGCTCGCTGTCCTTGTTAATCGTAACCGTGTGTGGAGGGATCGGTTCGCCCTGGATGGTGACCATACAATCCCGCTCAATTGACATGTCGGGCAAACCTGAGACATATACCCCTGTAAAAAATGGTGTCAATTCTCGATCTTAATTCCAATGCATTTCAATTAATAAACTTACCAAGAACTCCCAAAGCCTTGAGTCGCGTGTCCAAGAAGGCTTTGTCAGTGTGGTGCAGCGCGAATTGATACGAGGTGATAGCAGCGGCCCCGGTCATTTTCCCGATGAGTCCCAAATTGGCGACGTGGACCTTGCCGTTTGTTTCGCTGTTGAACTTGGTTACGGGGAATGCCGTGAAGATATCATATTCCCCGACATTCAGCGATACTCCGAAATCAGCAGTGGG